CTAACTTTTTAGGACAAATGACATAAGGAAGAAGCTTAGTATATTTTAGTTGCTTTTTATTTAGCAGAGCTTGGGCTTATTTATTAAGAAAAAATCCTCACTGTTTTTTATATTTTTATGTTTCAGATATTGTTATGGAACTTTATCAAAGGAAGCCGCATGCCACAGAACAGAAAGTGTTGGTTGTTTTATGGCATCTCTTAGGAAATATGACAAATAGTGGCTCTCTGCCTGGAGCTGGAGGAAATATACGAACAGCCACAGCTAAATTATCAAAAGCACTCTTTGCACAGATGGGTCAGAATCTGTTAAATCAGGCTGCATCTCAACCACCACATATCAAAAAGAGTTTGGAGGAATTACTCGATATGACAATTTTAAATGAATTATGAATCTTTGATAAAATACTGTATGATGAACAAAAGTGTTTACATGATGACAAGTGGAACTTTCCAAAAGTTATGTTATCAGTGCCTGCACTTCACATCCAGCAAATTAAGTCAATGGCTATTTTTATTTGCAGCCTATGAGTACACATCTGTCCTATATCAACCTTACCACTTACATCCATCACATAAAAACCTAAAATATATCATTCATGAATAATTCACGAAATCTGAGTCACATGGGATGAATTCAATTTTAATATTTTTGAAAAAAGTCCTGCTCATTTGCACTATTCTATAGAAGCTACAATTTGTTGCCCTGTATGTACAATTAGAATTGTAATTAAAAATATACTTTTTATTATGTAATCATGTTCTGGTATGTCTCATTTCTCAGCCTTATTTTATAAAGTGGAAGTCATTGAACTATGTTATCAGAAACTAAGTTTGTATATTATTTGTGAAAAACATGTATTTCTGAATCAGTCCACTAATATGATTGTGCAGTATTAGCTTGCTTTTGCTGCTGTGTTAATGTCATATATTAGCTTACCTTTTGGGTTTAATTATCTTACATAATTGTGAAATTTAACAAGTTATAATAAAGCATGACAACCAAAGTTTTAGAAAACATTAAACATTTTAAATGCACGTTTAAAAAAACGTGTCGAATGTAACCCCCCTATTTTTGTGTGCAAACACTAAATTTTATTTCTTTATGTTTTGACCTTCATAAAGGTGTTGTTTTGCTGCCCAGTTGTGTAATTCTCAAAAATATTGCCAGGTCTTCTGTAGCTTTTTTCAGAATTCATGGGCTTACAAGTACTGTATGCATCTTTAAAAAGAAAAGGAATGTTATCAAATAAAAGGATTTATTTCTGTAGATGTGTGAGAAGTGTCCTATTTTTCCAACTTCCATACATGTTAAAATGAAAAAAAAATATATATATAGTAGTATTGACTTATCACTTTCACTTGATCTACTTATGATATTGACCTATCACTATTGACCTACAAATAGACTTGGGTTACATTCTAACTTTGTAGGAAATTAGCTGTGTGACCTTGGACAAAGTCACTTGCCAGGTCTGGGCCTCAGTTTCCTCATGTCTGAAATGTAAGAACTAGACTAGGTGATTTTAAAGGTCCTATCCTGTTCTAAAATTCTATGATTCTGTTCATTCTTTTTTACTTCTGAGTCACTGACCAGTTTTCTAATGTATCTGGCTGTTTTTAAAATTATGATTTAAAAAAATGTATCCTTAGCTTTTGAGAAAAAAAAAAAGGTGAGAGGGTTGTTTCTATTTTAAGCTACACTAGAAGAAAAGTAGATAATTGGCTACTTTTTCTATTTATATAAACTTTTATATAATTATATACTTTTAAAATACCTTATATTTTCTTCTAAGTGTATTTTATTGTAGTCCTCTAGTTTGGTGTACTTTATGTATAGGGCCATAGAGTAAATATTTTTGGATTTGTCAGTCCTTATTTTATTTATTTATGTATTTATTTTGAGGCGGAGTCTTGCTCTTGTCACCCAGGCTGGAGTGCAATGGTGTGATCTCGGCTCACGTCAACCTCCACCTCCCAGGTTCAGGAAATTCTCCTGCCTCATCCTCCTGAGTAGCTGGGATTACAGACGCCCGTCACCACGCCCAGCTAATTTTTGTACTTTTAGTAGAGACGGGGTTTCGCCATGTTATCCAGGCTGGTCTCCAATTCCTGACCTCAGGTGATCTGCCCACCTCAGCCTCTGAAAGTGCTGGGATTACAGGCGTGAGCCACCGTGCCTGGTCTTTTTTTTTTGAAACGGAGTCTCGCTCTGAGTGCAGGGGCGCGATCTCGCCTCACTGCAAGCTCCGCCTCCCGGGTTCACGCCATTCTCCTGCCTCAGCCTCCCAAGTAGCTGGGACGATAGGCGCCCGCCACCACGCTCAGGTAATTTTTTGTATTTTCAGTGGAGACGGGGTATCACTGTGTTAGCCAGAATGGTCTCGATCTCCTGATCTCGTGATCCGCCCGCCTCTGCCTCCCAAAGTGGTGGGATTACAAACGTGAGCCACCGAGCCTGGCCACCCGGCCTATTTTTTACACTTAAAAAGTGTAAAAATAAATATTCTTAGCTCAGGCCATAGAAAAATAGGCCTCTCTTAGACTCGTTTGATCTCAGTTGTAAACTCTGAAATCATCATTACATTTTGCTTCAACCCTACTTGATATGCATCATTGATACAATAGTTACAGATTTTAAGTTTTATTAATTATGACTCCTGCCTTTGTATCATTGCACTTGTGCTAGCTAAATTTGCATCAATAGATTGTTAGAGATATTGAAGGTAGATTTTAGATTTTAAAGGAAAAAGAAGACCATTACTTCATGTATAAGCCTAATTATTCCTTAGTTTGAATTTTGCATTGAAAATACAATATTCTGATCAGTCTAGGGAGAAAAATAGTACAGTAACTATAATCATTACTAATAATGTGGCAGCTTTATTTTACATAATATGTGAGCTACCTTTTATTACAAAGAAAATAGCCATTAATGTAACAAGAGTCTCAAGCCTAAAGAGTTTCTGTATTTTAGTAACTTCTTGATAGTGAGCACTCAGAAGTCTAGCACTTTTATCAAGAACCGTTTAGTCAACAAAGAATGAGAGACTGATCACTGATTGAAATAACTAAAGAAAAGCTGAAGGCCTGAATAAACAAATGCATTTAATTGGAATAAAGGAATGTTGTTTACTAGCAATGATAATTATAAAAGTCTAACGTCACCCAGCAATGCGACAAAAAAATAAAATGTTAAATGATGTATTTACCCAATGGAATACATTAAAAATGATGCCAAATACTAATCACAGGACAATGTTCACAGTATGTTAAAGGAAAAGTGTGACTACAAAATAAGTACAGTATCTCCATCAATATATGTGCACATAGAAAACGGAAGTAGTATATATACACCGACATCTTAATGGTGGTAATCTGTGGGCAGTGAAGCTATTTTAATTTTTTTTCAGTGTACTCTTTTTTTTCAGTGTAATTCTTTTTCAGTGTAATTTCTAGTTTTTCAGAAATGAACAAGACATTGCTTATAGTAAAATTTAAATTACAATAAGTGAAGATAATCTGAAGAGAATCTGAAAGGTAATTTGGAGAGAAAAAAATATGTAGCAAAGAAGAGAGTAGTGAACATCACAAAAGTGCTAAGGGAGAGTGATGTGACTCAAAGGGAGATGACCGAGGGAGGCAAGTATTATTCAGATAAAGAGCATAAGACTTTGATTCAGAAAGCATGAATTTGGGAACCCAGTTGTATAATTACCTGCTAAACCTTACATACATCCGGGGGTTATTGCAAAGTCCAAAATTTAAAAGGGATTATGTATAAGAAAGCATTTGTAGGGCCGAGTGTGGTGGCTCACGCCTGTAATCCCAACACTTTGGGAGGCCTAGGTGGGCAGATCACCTGAGGTCAGGAGTTCGAGACGAGCCTGGGCAACATGGTGAAACCCCATCTCTACTAAAAATACAAAAATTAGCCAGGTATGGTGGTGGACGCCTGTAATCCCAGCTACTGCGGAGACTGAGGCAAGAGAATCGCTTGAACCCAGGAGGCGGAGGTTGCAGTGAGCCGAGACCGTGCCATTGCACTGCAGCCTGGGTGACAAGAGCAAGACTCCGTCTCAAGAAAAAAAAAAAGCATTTGTAAACCTCAAATGCTATGTAAAGTTAACATTCCCAACGGAAGGAAGACCCAACTGGCATGAGCAAAAAGGAATTATTTTATTGTGTATATTTATGAGGTACAACTTAATGTTTTTATACATTGTGGATCATTAAGTTAATTAACATATCCATCACCTTACAGACTTAACTTTTTTTGTGTGTGGTGATCACGTTAAATTCCACTCTCATAGCAATTTTAAAATACACGTTATTATAAACTATAGTCATCTTGTTATACAGTAGGTTTTCAGAACTTACTCCTCTTTTATTTATTTATTTTATTTTTTAATTAGTTTTTGAGACAGAGTCTCACTCTGTCACCCAGGCTGGAGTGCAGTGGCACGATCTCGGCTCACTGCAACCTCTGCCTCTGGGTTCAAGTGATTCTCTTGCCTCAGCCCAAGTAGCTGGGACTGCAGGCATGTGCCACCACACCTGGCTAAGTTTTTGTATTTTTAGTAGAGATGGGATTTCACCATGTTGGCCGGGCTATCTCGAACTGCTGACCTCAGGTGATCTGCCCACCTCAGCCTGCCAAATTGCTGAGATTAGAGGCTTGAGCTACCACGCCTGGCCTTCTTTTTTTTTTTTTTTTTTTAAAATAGTCTTAGAGATGGGATCTTGCTATGTTGCTCAGGTTGGACTTGAACTCAAGGGATCCTCCCACCTCAGGCTACCAAAAGTGCTGAGATTACAGACATGATTCACCTTGCCCGGCCATAATTCTTCCTTTCTAAAAGAAACTTTGGACCCTTTGACCAACCTCTTTTCCATTTCCCCACCCTAAGCCTGCCAGCTCCTGCAAACCACCATCCTATTTTCTACTTCTTCGAGTTCAACTTTCTTAGATTCCACATATAAGTGAGATCATGTATTATTTTTCTTTCTGTGCCTGGCTTGTTTCACTTAACATAATGTCCTCCAGATTTATTCCTATTGTTGCAAATGACAGGATTTCCTTTTTTAAGACTGAATAGTATTTCACAGTGTCTATATACTGCATTTTCTTTATTCATTCATCCATTGATGAACACTTGATCAAGACTTTGAGGCACTCATCTCTATGATTCCCTCAAGGAATTGTGTTGCCCTTTGTTTCATGTTTTCATAAGAGATATTGGATAAGAAAGGTTCTCTAAGTTTTATTATAGCTTCTAAAGCTGTTGTATCAGTTGGAATGCTTTTGACTGAATAGCAAACCCAACTAACAGTAGCTTAAACCAATTGGTATGTTATTTGTCTCATACTACAAGAAGTGTAGAAGTATGTCACTGCTAAGCATTGTGCCAATGGCTCGATGATATCAGAGCTGACTATAAGATGGCAGCTTCCTCTCCAAATATCATAATTGTGCTTCAGACAGAAAAAAAAGTAAAAGGGATAACAAGCACAGGTGTTTCTCTAGTGAGGCTTTGCTTTTTTATTTAGGGAAGAAGACTCTTCCTATGTACTTCTACCTACATCTCATTGGCCACCCTTAGGTTCAAAGGAGGCTAGGAAATTGAGTATTTCATTTCCCAGTCTCAATAGCACAGGAAAATAATAGAGAAGATAGTGGGCATGGATACGACTGAGCCGACCTACAATATCTGCCACATTCCATAAGACCCACTCTGTCTGATGAACCACAGTGGCATTCTATGACCCAGGAATTGGTTTTAATTCAGGTCCAGTGTTTAATAAATTCCAAGAAGCCAGCATGTTTTCTGTTTCCTGGTATGAAGGTACCCTAACAAGTAGCCATAAATCTCTGAGGGAATAAGAGGAATGTGCAGAGTGCTATTATTATAGTGCTCTTCTTTAAGGGTATCTGGAAACAGGAGTAACATTGATAACTCTCAGGAAGACTGAATTGAGGAGATATTAATACCATTTGAGCTAAATTTGAAAGATGAAGTAGTAAAGAGGAAACAAGCTTCATGTTATGTTTGGATTTAAATCTCCTGGAGCTACAGTTTTAAGTTTACTTGCTTTACCAGTAAGGAGAAACACTAAATACAGGAGTCTGAATGTTTCCAACAGAAGAGCCACCACAATTTATTTAGTGACGGTTTATTTATAATGTAAACAAATTTCATTCCCTAGAGCAATATATTCTGTAAATTAAATGATCCACGAGGTATTTTATGCAGTTTTTCATGGCATGTTAACGTTTTGAAAAGAATAAACAGGAATCATACTGAACAGCTCAGAAATTGTGATTAACACTGGGTATCACAAGATACATTTTGCTCTTATATCAATTAGGACCCAAAAGGAAATAGATGGCAAATCAAAACTGGCATAATTTGGGAAGTGGTTAATAAGGGAGTATTTATAAAGGCAGGGCTTAGGGAAACCTGGAACCTAGAATGAAGTTATATGAAGAGGGTTACCTGGATCAGAGCTGAGATCACCCACATGGAGGGAGCTGGAGGAATAAATACCGTGACCTCACTCCTCAATTCCATTCTGCCAGGACTTTCTCTTCGCCATACTCAACCAGAAACCAGGAAGCAAGAGAACTTATCGATATGGTCTATAAGGGTCAATCTCCAAAGAATGGAGCAGAGTGGATAAGGACAGACAGTTGATCTGGAGGGGCAAATGGAAGAAATACATGAATAAATGATATCATTTCCCATTTGTCTGACTTCTTTGTTCTGTTTCTGAGATCACATGACTTTAAATATTGTTTTTTTTAGAACCCACTACCCTCTAAACTACAGTATTTGGTATAATATCTTTTTTCTTCCCAAAGCTTATAATTGTGATACACAATTTCTAAAAAGTCAACTAAGGCTAAATCAATTTTTTTTGTTGTTTTTTGTTTTTGTTTTGAGATGGAGTCTCACTCTGTCTCCGGGGCTGGAGTGTAGTGCCACGATCTTGGCTCACTGCAACCTCTGCCTCCCAGGTTCAATTGATTCTCCTGCCTCAGCCTCCTGAGTAGATGGGATTACAGGCATGCGCCACCATACCCAGCTAATTTTTGTATTTTTAGTAGAGATGGGGTTTCACCACGTTGGTCAGGCTGGTCTCGAACTGCTGACCTCCTGATCTGCCTGCCTCGGCCTCCCAAAGTGCTGAGATTACAGGCATGAGCCACTGCATCCTGCCAGCTAAATCAGTTTTTAAGATAATGTATGTTTCTAGCAGTGGGGATCACATTTCAGGCAAAGAGAAGACCCCACTTAAAGGTTTTGACACATAAAAGGGCTGTGGGAACAGTAGGTTCTGTGGAGTTACCGGGAGGCAGAAATAGTGAGAAGCCTGGCATGATTATGAAAACACTATTTTCCATTCTAAAAGTTTAGGATTTCTTTAAAAAAAAAAAAAAAAAAAAAAAACCGTGGAGGAGGAAACCAGTGGAGGTTTTTAGGCAGGGGAGTGAGAGCAATAGCACTGGCTTGAAAGGTAGAATGTAAAAACTAGATAAAGGAAAACAATGAATCCACAGTGAATAAAGTTGAAGATGCAAGTAGATTTTTACAAAATGGCTATTTGAGTGAATGACATCTCAGAGATAATCTTATTTACTGATAAAGAAGTTGAGGCCACTTTAGAAAGACCAAAGAAAAGGAGTGAAGGTCATGCCAAACAGTCACTGTGTAACAGTGCCAGCAGCAAACTCTGGTCTGTCTTCCCAACGCACCACTCCCTTGACTATTCTTCCCATACTAAACATTTAAAAGCTGCTGTTTAAACCTGTTAAAAAAAACAAAAACAAAAACAAAAACATGGCCACATTGTCAGAGAACCCAAAAAAAGGTAGCTTGGAGAGTAGAAGAGGCAAATGCAAAAGGAAAGCTACTACTTGGTACTACTAGGTGCAGTGTGATGCAAGTGAAAGGTAGAAAAAAAGATCTAATTTGGTATTTGGAAGTAAAGGTGCTGGTGAGAGGATTTATGATTAACCAGCGTTGTAACAAGAAACATCATCTTGTAAATAATTATTTGCAGAGGCGACAGATTCCAGATGAGGAACTTGGAGCCCAGTGGTAATAATACTGCACCTTGAACAAGAGATTAAATGGTAAGTGATGGGTGAATGCAGGGGCACAATTGTAACAGAATCTTAAAGGGAGAGAGGCCAGATTGGAAAGAAGTTTGTTTTTTGTTAAAGTGGAGATGGCAGTACAACTGAAGAGGACTGCTAAGATTGTCAACGCACAGTCCCCCTCAATTTGTCCAGAGGATAACGTATCCCTTTATATATATATA